CCCCAAAACCCCAAAACCCCAAAACCCCAAAACCCCACTTCTTCATATAATTATTGCAAATTTTAATATAAGGGACATATAAATGGAAAAAAAGGGAGTAAAGATAATAAAAAAGGTTGAGCTTGATACTAGCACGCCTGTAGATGTAGAGAAAGGCATGAAGATTGTCAGGTAAGTCTTCCCACTCTTCCCACTCTTTGCATTCATAAGCTATCCTCTCTCAGCTATAGCTATTCTTGACAGAATTATCGTTATATCCTAGTTTTTTTTGAACCTAGAATTCTATGCTGGGTATCGCCAAGTCAGCTTAATGATCAAATTTCTCAAGATTTTCAAAAATTTAGCATCTTAACAAGTGATTTAGCCCAGAACTGTTCTTTAAGTTGCTACCAAGCTATGAAGATTCATGATTTTTAGAAAATCTCTTTTATATTGCATTTGCAGTCCAGGTTGGCAACTATGGAGCTATGATGCAGAAAGCTCACTCTATTAAAGGAAGTGGAGGCTACGCAGGCGCCTCTAGAGTCTGCCTTGACTGTTACTGGATTCAATACTGGTTTGAAGAGCGCAAGTACGTTAAAATGATGGAAAGCTACCTTCAATTAGTCGAACATGCAGCACAATTCCGAATTCACTGGAGAAAAATATATTATGAACACCTGAAAGAGCCCTATTTTGAAGCACCAGAACACATTAAGGTCCCTCTTCCCTTTGGATGGAGGTTGGAGAGACTTTCTGAAGAGGAATTTAAAGTCCATTATCCGGACGATTACCTTGACTTAGCACTCGAGGCAGAAAGAACAGGAAAGAAATATATAAAATAAGAAAGGTGATGAATTTGAAATACAATATGACAATCTGAGTGAGGATTCATCACCATTTCCTAGTAGCGAGAAATCAGAAGAGAATGCTCCTTCCTTATACGAATCATTCTCTAAGGCTCATCTGCCTGTCTACTTCAACCCTTACTTAGCACCAAGTGACGATAGTGATCTTGATGATCTGGACTTTGGCCAGTCAAAAATAAAGGTAAACCCAAAGAGAAGTATGCCTTTGAAAGAGAATAAGAAAAATAAGAGTAAGTAGTATCTGTTCATTCCTTTACCCTGTCTATATAGCTTTTGTGAAGAAGGTAAGTCTAATTAATGTTCAAATGACAGATCTCCCTCCCAAATTCTCCTCAAAATGTTCCTAAGGATATTAATAGTAAGACAAATATTAAGAAGACATTGGGGATCTTCAAGTGCTCAACTAAGCCCTCTGTGATGCGTGACAATAATAATCAGGCTGCGAGTAAAATTTTAGGTGATCTTTTAGAAAATTTCAAAGTTCGTGGTGTCAAATCTTACGACCCAGGTAAGCATCCTTAGATCCTAAATTTTCATTGGGTGGATTGAATTAATGATTTCTAGCTGGTCTGGTAGATGTAAGAAGCAAGAAATGAGTGGAGAGTCACCGCATCGTACGCTTTATGAATAAACTGTAGAAATACACACAATAAAATTTAACAATTCTTCAAGAAGCAGCCAAAGAAATTGAAAGAATTTTAACAGAAATATCAAGAGAATTAAGAAATCAAGCGTAATTCAGAGGCCAGGGCTGCTTAATCCTATCAGACTTAAGTCTGATAGGTGCAGATCTATCTGCAGAGGATCCTCCATTAAAAATATGAACAGAGGAGGGGTTTTAGAGGAGTAAGAGTTTAATATATCGAAATATACCAGACTCTTTTATGTGAGAAAATACCACACAATTATTAAAGCTAGCCTAGCTGTTAAAATATACTACCTTCGGTCTAAAATAGCCTAGTATTCTGATCTGTTTCACTTCTCAAGATTTATTGGTTCCCTAAAAGCTTAAAAATCTTTAAAACTACCAACCTCTGTGTAGCAAGCTCTTAGGGTAAGATTATCATTCAAATTAGGTTTGGTTTTATAAATTCTTGTAGATCTTTGAACTTGCTTAAAGAGAATAATTCTGACTCTGGAGACATTCAGATAAACCCTCATGGAGTACCTCAAGAGATAGTGAAGCTTGACTCCAAAAAGAGCGAACTAGGTAGCATGGTTGAAGAAGTAGAAGACATAAAGGAGGAATCCAAGGAACCTTCTAAGAGGTTCCGTAAAGAGGAATCCAAAGCTATCCCCATTCAGAAATCTGAAAATGACTCTCCCTCAAAGAAAGAGAGTGATAATAAATTCCCTAAGAAAGGACTTGGGGAGGAGTTTAAAGAAAACTCTGATTCTAAGGTAGCCCCAGTTGCTATTTACTGCGAGAACGCTACTCTGATCCACTATAATCATGGCAAAGTGGAGGTAGGAGCGTATTGTGTCAAAAATAATGAAAACATTCATATCATTCAGAAAAACATTCCGAATTCTACCCCCACAGCCAAGAAGAAGAGATTAATCGATTGTAACTCGTTCATACTAATTTTATAGCAAAGAAGAGGATCATTGACTCTACACCAAAGGTTGATGATGACAAGAGGAGAGGTAAGGTAATACAATTATTCTATAGAGATGATAAAAGCCAACAAGGAGAGTAGAGATGCCATGCACACAGAGGAAGAGCACCCCTGTTGCTCATCCCAGGCTTGAACCACTCAGTGAACAATATTTTAACCTCATTAAAATTTTTCGGAAAATAATTTAACTCAACTAGTGAGTGTACTTATGGGGTTTTGGGGTTTTGGGGTTTTGGGGTTTTGGGG